CCTGCTGGTCCAGATCTGAGACCCCCCTCCAGGGGACCCACTGAATCAATGGGGCTGGCATCAATGTGGACTCACCATTCCTGAACCGAGGCAATCCTCCCACTCTTGTTGGGACCAGCAACTGCATTTTGGGGTCCCAAAAACTGTTTTTTAATCATTCGATGTCCTTTAAAAGCCAGATTTTTCCTCTCTCTTCCCGCTTCTACCAACTCCTGAGACATCAACCCGCCTGGCAGTCAGTGTTCATCCCCCCCTCCGTGAAGGATGATCAAAGGGAAACCACGCAGCCTTCGACAGAACAACTTGTACAAACCAAACGCGACTGAAACATGGCAGCTTCCTAAATCTGCAAACACAACAGGCACTTAAAGTCATTTCTCTCAGTGGTACCTTTTCAATGGAATGCATATATACCCCCTAATACTCCTCCTTTTGCAGCACGCCAGCCCTGCCAAGACAACCATCTGGGAGAGACACCAAGGCAACCAAGCTGCAAAAGCTATTTGGGAGAGCTACGAATGTTGAAGTCGACCAATGTGCTTTTTTTCTCCAACCTGGGCGCCGGCCCTACTGTAAGGCAGAGTGAAGGCACTGCCCCAGGCAGGAAGCAATGGCCGTCATGAATGCACAGCAAATTAATACAGCTGTCAAATTTCGCTATTCTTGCAGTTTTACTGGTGTGGAATGGTATGGTATGGAACAGGTTCTTAAGTAATTTGGCTTGATTTAGGTTGTGGGTATCTTGTGACACTGGAAGAGGCTCTTGAGAGTCCCCTGGACTACAAGGAGAACAAACCTCTCCATTTTGAAGGAAATCAACCCTGAGTGCTCACTGGAAGGACAGATCCTGAAGCTGAGGCTCCAAGACTTTGGCCATCTCATGAGAAGAGAAGACTCCCTGGGAAAGACCCTGATGTTGGGAAAGAGTGAAGGCAAGAGGAGAAGGGGACGACGGAGGACGAGATGAATGGACAGGGTCATCGAAGCGACCGACATGAATCTGACCCAACTCCGGGAAGCAGTGGAAGACACGAGGGCCTGGCGTGCTCTGGTCCATGGGGTCACGAAGAGTCGGACACGACTGAATGAATAAACAACAACCTTGGCCATGAGCAGGGAAGGCTGGAGGGCCATGCTTTCTGATGCCCCACCTCAGCCGGCAAAACGCGTTTGCCTCGTTCTGTCTCCAGAGTAACTTTTCAAAGTCCGCAAGGAGAAGAGGATAAGGAATGTCCCCATCTGGCATCATCCTTCGTCCCTCTACCTCCACAATGTCGAAGGGCTCTTTTGTACCCAATGGAGGCCGATCTACAAACTGTTCTGCTTCCCCCTCCCCCTGCTTTTGGAAAAAAAAGAAAGCAAAAATAAAATAACAACCTAAAAAGTCAACTCAAACAGCGAGTTCAGCACAAAGCTTGCAAATTTGCTGACGGCACCGCCGCGCAAGCGTTATTGGTCCGAATAGGACAGAGCAGCTGCCGTGTTTAAATCTGGCTGACCCTTTTTTTTTGGTCTTGTATTTGAGATTGGTTCTGCAGAAACACCAAAGAAAATAAATAAAAGCGGGGGGGAGAGAGATAGAGAGAGACAGACAGACAGACAGAGAAAGAGATTGGCACTAGACCATCACCACTTAGAAAAGTTACTTTCTTGGACCACAGCTTTGAAACCAGCCACAGGTCACAAGGGGTAGCTTCGGGTCATCGCAAATCAGGAAACTCTTCCAAGTTTTCAAGCCTCATCCTTGAGCACATTATTTTGACAGCGATTGACACAAGATCTGCACATCCTTTCTAAGCATTCAAAGTGCTTTGTGTGGACGGTCTCAATGCCATCCTTATGACAACCGAGCACGGATGGACTCCATTATTGTTCTATTATCCCCACTTTACAGAAAGGGAGGCCAAACTGAGGTCTGCAGGTGGAAGAGGAGGTGGGATTGGAATGAACTGTTAAGAGGCAGGGGAGTAGGAAGGAATGTGGTTGTTAAATTTGGCTCCACAGCCCAGTGTCCTTGAAACAAGAAACCTAGCCCATCAAGGCTCTGCCGTTCTCCTTTCACCTTCCAAGGGTGGTGATTCCCTTATTTTGCATTTTCAAAACACGAGAAAACGCCACACCCAAGAACACCGATCTCTCCCTTCCAGGGATCCAGTCCACCCCACACATTCTAGGACAGCAACAAGGCCAAAAAAAACCCACAATATATATCATGGCCCTTCAGAGCCAGCTGGCTTTGTTCCACATCATCTCTCAAGGAGCGGAAGGCCCCAAATATTACGCCACACGACAGAGGCTCGTTTTTAAAAGCTGGCCCGAGGCTCTTCCTCGTCCGTGTCGCAAGAGACCAGCGTGGCTTATTCTGCTGGAAGTTGCCGACAGCAACCTGATTTTTTTCCAGGCTCCGGCGCGCAAGGAGCTGCGGAGAAATGACAGGCGCCCTCCGTGACACGCCGAGTCGGCTCCTACGATCTTGTGAAACTTGTTCCTTCCTTCAGCTTTTGTGGGCGAACAGAACTGCCTTTTGCACGCTGAGCCAGGACCAAGCGCTCAGCCCTGCAGCCCAGACCGCATGGCCGTCTCCTGCCTCTCACCTCGCCCGAGGATGATCCGAGGCACCCCCTGAG